TGTTAGTCTGACGGGCTTTTCTTTGTAAATGACCTGGCTTTTCTCTCTGGCTGCCCTTAACATTTTTTCCTTCATTTCGACCTTGGAGAATCTGATGATAACGTGTCTTGGGGTTGATCTTCTCATGGGGTATCTTAGTGGTGTTCTCTGTATTTCCTGAATTTGCATATTGGCCTGTCTTGCTAGGCTGGGGAAGCTCTCCTGGATAATATCCTGAAGTGTGTTTTCCAGCTTGTTTCCATTCTCCCTGTCTTCTTCAGGTACTCCAATCAATTGTAGGTTCAGTCTTTTTATGAAGTCCCGTATTTCTTGGAGGCTTTGTTCATTCATTTTTATTCTTTTTCTCTAATCTTTTTTGCATGTCTTATATTAGCAATGTGCTCTTCAAACTCTTACATCCTTTCTTCTGCTTCATCCATTCAGCTATGGATACTTGCATATGCTTCATGAAGTTCTCGTGCTATGTGTTTCATCATCTTCAGGTCATTTATGTTCCTCTCTAAACTGGTTATTCTAGATAGCAGCTCCTCTAGCCTTTTATCAAGGTTCTTAGCTTCCTTGCATTGGGTTAGCTCATGCTCCTTTAGCTCAGGGTAGTTTTTTTTATTACCCATCTTGTGAAACCTACTTCTGTCTATTCGTCTATCTCACCCTCCGTCCAATTCTGTGACCTTGCTGGAGAGACATTGTGATCATTTGGAGGAGAAAAGACACTCTCGCCTTTTGGGTTTTCAGCTTTTTTTGTTGTTGATTCTTTCTCATCTTTGTGAGTTTGTCTAGTTTCGATCTTTGTGGCTGCCAACGCTTTGATGGTTTTTTTTGGGGGGGGGGCGCTTTTATCTTGTCGTTGATGCTGTTATTGTTGCTTTCTGTTTGTTTGTTTTTCTTTCAATGGTCATGTCTCTCTTCTGTAGGGCTGCTGGGTTTGCTGGGGGTTCGCTTCAGGCTCTATTCACCTGGTTCACTCTCACTCCTGGAGATGTCACTCAAGGTGGCTGGAGAACAGCAAAGATGAGTGCCTGCTCCTTCTTCTGGGATCTCTGACCTCGAGGGCCACCAACCTGATGCCAGTAGGATCGCTTCTTTATAGGATGTCTGACAACCCCTGTCAGAGGGTCTTACCCAGTTGGGTGAAATGGGAAACAGGACATGTTTAACGAAGCCCCTTGACTGTCCCTTGGTGGAGGGGGTGTGCTTTGCTGGGGGGAAACCCACTCGTCTAAGCTGCCCCTATTCCTCAGAACTACTGGGAGGAAAGGCTAAGTCTGCTGGCCCACAGAGTCTGTGGCCACCCATCCCCTAGTGGATCAGGCCCAGGGAAATCCGGGTTCTGTCCCTGAGCCTCTGGCTGGAGTTACAGGAGTCCTTGCATGGAAGCCCCGCCCAGTGAGGAAGAACGAGACAGGGTCAGGCCTGAAGAGGCAATCTGGGTGCAGTCTTCCACAGCTGGTGTGTTGGGCTGTGGGGGACACGTCTTAGAACCAAGCCGTCCAGCTTCCCTGGCTCCAGCAGCAGAAAATCACAACCTGGAGCTATAGAGATGAATGCCACCCTTCCCGTGCCCAGGGAGCTTAGCGTTTTAGGAAATTGTGAGTCCCAATGCTGACTGCTGCCCCTTCCCCAAGAAGCTGAAATGGCTTAGACAGCAAGTAGCTGTAGCTGTGGTGCTGGTCGCCTCTCTCCCTGGGAGCTCAGTAGGCTTAAGAATATTCCAGCTGAGAGGCTGTTGATAATCTGCATGGCTCCCTGGCGTGGGTTTGTGAGTGGGATCTTCTGCTCCATGGTTTACATAGTTCTGTGGTAAAGCATGGTTTCCCAGGCTGGGTAGCACACTCACTCACCACCTCCCTTGGCTGGGTGATGGGGGCTCCCCTGACCACGTGACTCTCAGGTGGGCTGCTACACCAATCTACAGTGTGTAGATTAATTAATAGATTGACTCTATTAATCAATCTATTAATTAATAGATTCATATCTATTAATCCTATAATACTCTTCCTTCCTCTCTGTGGATGGTGCCAGCTTCCTAGTCAGTTCTGATGAGAACCTGGATACCTTGGTTGCTGGTGAAGGATTCACATGCTTATTACGGTTCTTTTCGATGGGAGCCTCTGATTGCCGCTATTTCTAGTTGGCCATCGTTATCCCCTGCCCCTGCAATATGACACATTTAACTGTAATGATATTAGCAGATGGAGACTTAGATAATCTTGGTTACCAAGAACCCAGACATTTCAGGGATAAGGTTCAGTTTTAATCTACTAGGGAAGCCACTATTTAGTTGCTCAGAAGTGAGTTCAGCAGAAGTATTTGGTGCTTGAAAATGGAATCTAGATTCAAAGAGAATAAGAGGGATGACACATATATTTGTTATAGCCTTGGTACCAACCAAAGCAGCATTGACTCTAGATCCTCACATTCATGTTCCTTTTATTACATTTCACAGCAATTGTGAAGAGTAATGTTACTAATAAAGAAGTTAATCTAAGCATTGTAGGGGAGGAAATGTAAGGATGTCTTGGACCCCAGTCAGAGCCACTTCACTGAGCCGTTGTGCCCCTTCTCTGTTTGCTTTGATTGGTGGCTCACAGTTGTCTCTATTAGTTATGGCTCTGAGGGCAGCCAGTCATCCAGTGTCCCTCTGACTGGCACAGAGGTACAAAGGCTGGTGATGTGCCCTCAAAGATGTTCCAATATTATGGTGCCATTCATGCTCCAGTTACCCTATGAAACTGGGCCACTTCTTGTCTCTAATTAAGATCTCATTCTTTCTTAGTTGTCTAGCCAGTCAGTTTCTCTATTCCGCTTCTAAGAATGCTACCTGAAGAATTACCTTTACAAGAATTCCTCCCTTAGACTTTCCTTGCAAGGGGCCTCAATTGAGTCAATGTTCATATTCCTAAATCATCTCAGATCCCCTGTGATGCTGCATATCTGAAATTGTACATGATCTACAAAGATATGAAAGAAAACTTATCTCAATACTGCAGTATTGGGGCAAGACGTTTTGCCCTCAAAGTTTAGAAAGATTGCCCAACTGTGTTATGAGGTTTATTTCTGTCACAAAGTAGTCTTACATTAATCTGACTTTTCTTACTCTGGCTTTTATTTCTCTATGCTTTTCTTTGATTCAAGTTTGCCAGTGCCATCAAGGTATAGAAATTGCTGTTGTTTTTGTCTTGCACTGCTTTGTTTTTATTTCTTTTCTTTGAATATGCATCTACCTTTCTATGTGCATTCATGAGACTTTTTACCATTTTCCTAGTCCATAAGTAGTTTTATTTTAATTAGTGGAGAACTGGTGTTTATTTTCTAAAATCAACAAAGATTATCTATTAATCCTATAATAGGTTATCATTAACTTTCCATTATATCATTGCTTAATTATTTCATTTTTGTTTATATATTCCCTATCTTCTATAGCAAAACTACTTTAAAGATTGTTAAGTTATTACTCATCCAATTTTATATAGCCTCTATCTTAATCTAAACTAGTGTTTAAAACCCTTTAGTTTTCATGACAGTAATTCTGTGTTCTACGTATCTTACATTAATCATAGCTATCATATTTTTAAAAAGGTAGTTGTGGCTGGATGCAGTGGCTTACGCCTGTAATCCCAGCACTTTGGGAGGCCGAGGCGGGTGAATCCTGAGCTCAGGAGATCGAGATCATTCTGGCTAACACGGTGAAACCCCATCTCTACTAAAAATACAACAAATTAGGCAGGCATGGTGGCACCCGCCTGTAATCCCAGCTACTTGGGAGGCTGAGGCAGGAAAATCACTTGAACCCGGGAGGTGGAGGTTGCGGTGAGCTGAGATCGCACCACTGCACCCCAGCCTGGGTGACAGAGTGAGACTGTCTCAACAACAACAACAAAAAAATAAGTTATTTATAATTTTCTGATCTTATTTTATAAGGAGAGGTAAAAATAGTGTGCTTTTCTTTACCTCCTGAGTCTAGGCCAATCTAAGAAAAAGGTAGATACGCTCACATGGAACTACAATATAAGCATTGGCACTGAAAGTGGCATTAGTAAAGAACATTTAAACCTGTGGTCAAAGTGCTTGCAAACTCTCCATCTCTAGCAATGCCCGCAATACCAGTCTCAAGACCAGGATATCATACCTAGGAAAATGCACATTTTCAGGCTTGATGTATTTAGCTAGACTTGTTGTTAAACAGGGTAGAACAATAAAATGAGAACATGAATGATTCAGTAACACTTGCAACTTACAATACATTACTTCTACCCAATCAAGACGAGTTAAGAAATGCATGCCATTCACCAACATGATGAATAGGCACAGCAAACAGGTGGAAATGTTTCTCGAGATGTAGTCCCTCCACATGCAAAGTGGAGTTTATGTAAATGTAAATCTCTTGCAGCAATCTTCCTTTATTCATTAATATTGACAAGACATTTCTAAAACTGTCTCTGAAATATTGTGTATATCATGTCTAGACATAATAATTTTAACTGTTTCTTTTTTTATAGTTTTTTTTTTTCACTGAGACGGCCCATGTTTGAATATTTTCATATATTTATCTCTGAAAGAAGTTAATTTTACAAGATTCATCATCTTGAAATATGTATTCTCTTGTTACAATTTCTGCTTACTTCTCTGGTTTATTATGAAACTTGAAAACATAAGTGGATAAACAATCTCCAATGTGCACCACCTGTGGAATTATTTCCTTCCCTAAAATACTTCTTCCCCAAAGTCAGTTTCATTGGTCAAGACTATGCATTTCCACTCTCGTTCTTCACAATATACTTCTCTGCACTGTATTTTCAGGAAATTGCAGTGTTTGGATTAATCTAGAAAGAAAAGATGCTAATAATATTAGGAGGGCTTCAAAAAGTATAACTATACTCTCCCCATTTTTCTGAAAACATTTGTTTCCTACTCTTTGTAGTGGGTGTTATTTTAAGTTATAAAATATATTGAAATTAGTCAGGCATGGTGATGTGCACCCGTAGTCCCATTCACTTGGGAGGCTGAGGCAGGAGAATCGCTTGAACCCAGGAGGTGGAGGCAGCAGTGAGTCAAGCTGGTGCCACTGCAGTCCAGACTTAGAGATCGGAGTGAAACCTTGCCTCAAAAAAGAAAAGAAAAAAGATATTAGTCATTGCAAGAATTTCATTTAAAAGTAAGCCCTTTTTATACGACCTTTTTATAGGTATTCATATGCATTTTAGTTTTTTGGTTTGTTTGTTGAGAAAGTGTCTTGCTCTGTCACTCAGGCTGGAGTACAATGGCATGATCTTGGCTCGCTGCAACCTCCGCTTCCTGGGGTTCAAGCAATTCTCCTGCCTCAGCCTCCTGACTAGCTGAGATTACAGGTGCCCGCCACCATGCCTGGCTAATTTTTTGTATTTTTAGTAGAGATGGGGTTTCACCATTTTGGTCAGGCTGGTCTCGAACTCCTGACCTTCTGTGATCCACCTGTTTCAGCCTCTCAAAGTGCTGGGATTACAGGCGTGAGTCACTGTGCCTGGCCATTTTAAGTTGATTTTTATATTTCTGTTTAAATTATTATGTTTTTTAAATTGGAAAAGAAAATGAAACTTAAAAAAAAAATATATATATATATATATATTTAAAGACTCTTCTATGACCACAGAGTCAAGTATAAATCCAGCACTCTGATTGAGGCAATCGAATCCAGAGATCTGATTTTAGAAAGCTATGCTTTAAAATGCTATGTTGTCGTCTTTCTTTTCTCTTGGGCTCTCTCTCATTCTTTCTCTCTCTCTTTCTAATTCTATCCTTTGCCTTCCCACTTACCAATCTATCTACATATCTTGTATCTATTCTTCTATCCATCCAATCAACTGATATATCTATCTTTTATATATGTGTACTTTTTTTTCTTGTTTCATACTCAACTGATGAAAGGGATGCAATAGTTGAGCAATATAAGTGAAATAACATTGTCGCAGACTTTTATTGAATGGATATTGTGTTGTGAGAATTACAAGAGTATGGAAAAGGCCATACACAAAATCTAGAACAGTTGCCTGTGTTTAGAAAAGAATACATTTCCTTGTAATTGTGATCATTCTAAAGCAACATTTCACACACACATACTCAAGAGCAAACTTTCACCCATGCAATGTTTGATGTACAAGCATATAAAAGTTACCTGTATAACAAATGTTTTCATCCAAGGAGAAAGTCTACCAGCACACTTGAAATATGGTCTACACAAGTGAAATGTATAATACATACATGTTAGTTGAATTAGCACTCATAGAAAGCATATATACTACAAATTAGAGTAAATGAAATAAATGTCATACAGCAAGTAACGTCAAATACATTGGTCTGAATGATTTCGATATGTCTGGTTCAACTTTGTTTACTTGTGTTGGTTTTAACTATAAATCCCAAAATAAATTTGCCTATTACTCACTGATTTTATGGAAATTGTAAATTGCTTATTTAAGGACATTAAAAATTCTCTTTAGCAGTACTCCCTCTTTATTTTTTACTGTAAAGTTGTGTTAATTTCAGAGAAGTTAACATTACCAACGAAACAACTATTTTAATTAATATAAGGTAAACATTACTATAGATAAGCTGTATATCTATATATGTGGTTGTATAATGTGTGTTGTTATGCACATACAGATGTGTATATATTTATATATTATATATATATGATGCTAACTCTAGCCTTATAAACCTTTTTACATTTCAAACAAAAATCATAAGGTATACTTGATGTAACTTGACATTTTATTTCAGAAAAAAATTATAAAAAGAAAAGAAATCCCTAAAAGAGAAGGAATACCAAGAAAGACTCAACTGCTGAAGTAGGTCAAGGGCAATTAAATTGCCTGCTTAATATGTCTGCTCACAATTCGATGATTTCTGTAAATTATATTTTTACAAAGTTCCTTTGAAAATATTGTTCTTTTGCTTTGATAAGCTTTTAAGACACATTCACACACGTCTTATTACCTGTCAGCCATTTTCCTTCATTATAAATGTCATTTTGTTAGGGTCTTGATTTAATTATAGACTCTTATTTGCTAGGACAACTGACCAACTGAAGAATCCCTGCTGCTTTATTCAATAGAAGTAGCTCCTGGAGTTTTGGCTTTAATTCACTCCATTTTCCCTAGTTCATAAAGTGTGAAAATTTATATTTTATTCAGTATTTTTCTTGGCTCTCTGATTGAATCAGTTTCCAAGGAATGAGACATATGTGTGAGTTATATCTCCTTTACAAATATTCTTTCTTGCAAGGAATTACTTTTTAATTGCCAATATGGAGATTGTCAAGGCTAAGTACTCATGTATGCCTATTGTGAAAATCTGTTTTATTGAATGGCCTTAAATCTTAATGTTTCTTGTTATAAAAATCCATAAGGAAAGAATATTGCAAAAGATTTTTAAAATTTTTTAAATGTGTATATTTGTAAGGTTAATTTAATTAATTGTTGTCAGTAAAATAATCTTGACACCTAAAGGACTTTTTAATAAACATGTTGACAGAGTTGTTTCTTCTGCTATGCAGCCTGTCTTCTGCACTGTATTGATTTTAAGGTCCTTAGGTGTGGGAATTTGTTTTGGACAATATTGGATAGAAGGCCCTTGAAGAGTATAATAGGGGTGTGTGGTGGGGGAAAATTAGTATTTCACTTTTCTTAATAACCATTGTTGGACCATGTACCCAAGCACTACAACAATGGTTCTGCATCCACAGCCCACAATGGGATTCAACCTACGAACTTTGTAGGGGAACAAAAAAAGTTAAAACTTTATGTTCACTAATGTATCTAACTGAAATTTAGTACATCTTAGATAGACGTAAACAATACAAAGTAGTATTAGAGTGACTGGCCTATCTTGTCACCAATTAAAATTTTGTATATTTTCATATCACATTACCTTGCTGCAGATATATTGAAATATGTTGACTGGAGAAGAATTCTCTGGGTGACCTTAGACCAACCCATTTCTCCCCATTTTCTCACTTACTCAAGAACGATTGTAGAATGTGCTGTGAATGCAATGTCCTGAGATAAGAAAGAACTGTCTGGAACAGCCTGGTCTCTTTCCCAGTCCTTCCCTAGAAACAGAATGTCCTTCAATGCCTTAACTCAGTGATCCATGGAACTCTGGGGTTATAAAACCCATTATGTGCTGGTTTCCAAGGTCTCTCAGCCATGGTACAATTAAGGTATGCACAGATAAGATTCTACCCACCCTGGGCAGCTTTCCTGAGCCATGGCAGGCTAGCTTACAAGCAATACTAGGCCTCTGTTGTCTCTTTCTGTCTATTTATAAGTAATACATCTACTTCCTATAACTCATTATGTATAGGTGTTCTATCACATCAAACGAAAGCAAGTTGGGAACCAGTGCAGAGTGAACCTGCTTCACATTTACAAGCAAAACTACCACGATATTTTGCTACTTATGAGTCCAGCCTTAAGATTTAATCATTTGATGTATCAATATGATCACATACATAACTGAATTTTATAGTCTCTATAGTTTGACTAATGTGTTTCAAAATAATTAAATTTATTTGTAATCCTAAGTATTTTATTTTACAAATGTATAAAAATTATAGTGAGCACACAGGCAACAAAGGTAAAAATAGGCTAATGAGGCCTCATCAAACTTAAAAGTTTTCATTTGTCAAAGGATATCATGAACAGAGTAAAAAGAGAACCCATGAAGTGGGAGAAAATATTTGCAAATCACATAACTGATAAGAGGTTAATATCTAGCATATGTAAAGAACTCCTACAATTCAAGAACAAAAGTTCAAGTAATCCAATTAAAAGTGGGCAAGAAACTTGGATAAGCATTTCTCCAAAGATGATATGCAAAGTCGAGCAAACATGAAAAGATCCTCAGTATCACTAATCATCGGAGAAATTCATTTTGTTGTGAGATATCACCACACATCCATTGGGATAGAAACTATCGAAAACAAACAAAACCAGGAAGTAACATGTGTGTTAGCAGGGATATGGACAAGTTGAAACCTTTGTGCATTGTTGGTTGGATTGTACAATGGTGCAAACGTTATGGAGAACAGTACTGACTTCCTTCAAAAAATTACAAATGTCAATATCGTATGATATTCAGCGATCACACTTCTGGGTATTTACCCCCAAAAAAGTGAGGTTCTCAAAGAGATCTTTGTACGTGTATGTTCATAGCAACACTATTTACAGTGTAGATATAGAAAGCATAATAGTTGTTACCAGGGGCTGGGGACAGGGGGAAAGGAGTTTCGTTGTTTAATCCATACAGAGTTTCAATTCTACATGATAAAAACATTCTGGAGATCTCAACACTACTAAACTGTACACTTAAAAGTGGAAAATTGTATGATACGTATGTTTTACTTCAGTAAAAATCATATACTGAGAACGAGTCTGTGAGCTTCACTGGATTTTCCCAGTCTTTGGTGTGAAAATGGTTACAAATCCCTACACTAGAGGAATATTGGAGAAGCCTGATTTGCCCCTTCATACTGATTCTCTCAGAGCAATTTATTAATTTGTAATCTTTTGAGATGAATCATCATGCAATTCTTCAGTTTATGAAAGTATCTCTGCACAGCCTAGCATTTTGAAAGGAAAATAAAATAATAAATAGTGTTCCTAGCCAACAGTTACCTGAATTTAGTTGAGACTGCCATGTGTACATATTTGAAAAAGATTTGGGAATAATCAGAAAGAAAACCCTCTATCTCCTTCCTCACAAATTATCTACAGCTCCTAGTATTTTCTTCATAATTTCCAGATTTACATAAAAATTATGAAAATCTAGTTAACTAACCTTTAAAGGAGAATAAGATCTTATCTTGTAGACAATAAGTGCCAGATATGGAGATAAATGATCTGATTATCTTATTAGAATTGAATTTTTGTGGCTGAGGTTTTGAATAAACCAAGACTTACAATATTCCTGTAGCCTATAAAGCACGTTGACTACTGATTCTTTCCTGCTTCTGAAAAAGGCACAAATTGAGAGGGAAGTTTATATGTTCCATCCTAGATACAAGCAATAACTTGCCATATAAGAGAGACTGATGGTAATTATCTCCACATCCCTACAGTACTATTATTAATGATAATGGTGACTCAAATTGGAAGCCCTTTGAATATGAGTAAGTGGTTGTAAAAGCTGAAATTTCTACCTAATGAATTCACATGTAATCACTTACACTTACAGAACTTTCCAAAGGATGGAACTGGCCATTGCAGAGAATTTATTCAATTGGATTTGGCTTTTTGATTTTATGTTTGAGAACTAATTTTGTATAGAAGTGCTCATTAAAAGAAAAGTTAACAGAATAATATACTGGAGACATTTCTGGAAAAATAATATATAATCATAAGTAGTCTTTTGCCTCTTGTTTTATTATGGCCATTCTAGTGTTTGAGAGATGGTGTTTTCTTGTTTTCATGTGCATTTTCATAGTGGATAGTGATGTTGGGCATTTTTTTATATGATTATTAGCCATATATAAGTTTTCTTTGAAGAAAGAGATATTCAAATCCACTATACTTTTTGATTTATTTTCTTTTACTTTTTTAAAATTAGGGATTTTCTATTCATATTATGATTTGAAATCATTCAGGACTTTGTTTCTTTCGATGTTTATAATTCTTTAACCATTTCAGAACTGACTGATGCATTTATAATGCTACAACAGAATCTTATTAGGTGATTGTATTGCGTATAGGGTGGCCATAACAAAGTACCACAGACAGAGTAGTTTAAACAACAGGAATTTTTCATCACAATTCCGGAGGCAGGAAGTCTGAGATGAAGGTGTGGGGAGGGTTGGTTTCTTCTGAGGCCTCCCTTCTTGGCTTGTAGGTGGCCATCTTGTCCCTGTGATTTATTTTGTTAGTGATTGCTCTAGGAACAACAATACGAACCTGAAATTACAGCATTCAATTTAAGAATAATAGTAGCTCTAATTCTTTAAGCTATAGAGAATTTGCTTCAATACAGCTCCATTTCATCTTCCTCACCTTTTGGCTATGATTGTGACACACAGGTATATCTCTGAGATATTGAGGCTTTGGTTGGACACCACTGCAATATAGATATCACAATAAAGCATGTCACACCAAGGTTTTTGTTTTTTAGTGCACATCAAAGTTATTTTTACATTATAATGTATTCTATTAACTATGCAAGCATTATATCCAGAACAATCAATGTACATACCTTAATTGAAAAATATTTTATTGCTAAAAAATCTCTTTCTTTGTGCAGACACACAAATCTCTTACTTGGTGCAGACATACAAAATAAGCACATGCTATTGGAAAATTGTGTTGATAGACTTGCTCTCCACAAGTTTGCCATAAACTTTCAACTTGTGGAAAAAACAACACACAATATATTTAAAACACAACAAAACATAGCACAATATGAGTTATGCCTGTGCATTGCATCTATGTATGTTATAAACTTATTTTTAAAATAAGTATTTTATACAATTTAATATTTATAAAGAATGTAAAAGAAGTATATGGACTTATATATTTACCTAAATATTTGTATTTTTGGTGCTTACTCTGTATTTGCATATACTTGTATTATTACCTGGTGATAATATTTCCCAATTTGTTGAATACCTTTGGTTGATTTTAATAGCCCTGAAATGATTCCTAAAATGATAACATTTTAAAATAAGTTTTTATTGGACCTAGGTTATAAATAGTGATGAATATTTATCTTGGAATTCTTAAGGAAATGTGAAATATTCCCTAAGAAATAAATGAAATTTATTTCCCATGTAGAACAAAATATGTTAATACCATAACCACAAAGGTATACATGGATAGTGTTATTGTCAATAGTGCCACCATTTACAATACAGTCTTAATGTAGTAGGATTTGCGTTTATTCTAGCAATGGTGATTGTATTCTCTCACTGAAGTATTTAAACAAAGGGGGCCTTCATCCCTGGTGTCTACTTTTGATGTGTCACTTCTCAGAGGCAAAACGTTTTACCTGTAGTACAGAGATATGGATGACTAACTTGAAGAGTTAAGAAACAAAAGTGGAAATCTTTCCTCTAACCAGACCCAAGGTTATTTGATAGTGGCACATGTTAGAGAAAGAAATGAGCTCACTAAAAAAATGCCAATCTATTTTCAAAAACATAAAGTGTGAGTTATTTTAGTGAAGCTTATTGTGCAAAAATGCTTAGTAACATGAATACTTAGTAGTACATTCTTTCAAATGTATTGTGCTATTAAATGTAACAGATTAGAATCATAATTTCTACATATCATTAAAAAGCAGCTGTTGTATTTATTTTCCGACACCAAATTCTTCTCATAAATATACAACATTTATTTAAAATCTGGCATACTTATTCAGAAACTGTTCATTGCATCATTAATTTTCAAACTATAACCTGAAGGTTATCAGATTTTTCATCATTACTATTGTGAATGTTATGTTTAGAAAAGTCATATGTCGAAAACATTTTATAAATGTAGATGGTGCCTGAAGATTATAAGAAATATATTGTGACCAAAACTTTAGCATCTTAAGGATCTATGTTATTACCTATCATCAATTTCAAGTAACAATTGAATTAATAAATAAAATTAAAAGAAACATGTTACTGAGATATGACTACAACAAAAGATTCCATTTTAGAGGGGAAGTTGAGTGTAAGTAATTGCTGGACAGCAGACTGTGTTCTTTCCTACAGAAATTATCTTTAACAGGCAGGAATTTCTCAGTGATCAAGAATAGTTTCCACATAGAGTAGCCACAAAAGGAAAGCACAGCTCATTAAAATATTAATAACATAATAAGAGGTAAATGTATTCATGAGAATATTAAAAATGTGAAACAATAGCATTTTTACATGCAGATCAGTGTTTACATCCAAATAAGCCTAATCATGTGTTAAATATTGTAAAATATATTTAAGTAATAGACATATGAGCATTAAAAAGTGAGATAATGTCAGAAATTGGCAAATAACCTGATCATATAGAGATAATAAACCAGGGTAAGTCTGAGAGATATTTGGAAAGCAGTTCATATCCAATCTGATTTCTACTTTTTGGAAACTCAGTTTGTCAG